AGCTTAATTAAAAACATTTACGGACTTTTATAATATGTTTGTCTGTCTGTTTATGTTCACGTACATACACATGTGTTTACTTTTAATGTACCTGTGTTTTAAGATGATCATACCTATCACACCTATAATCTTGGCCAGGGGCTTCCAAACTACGGCCCGCGAGTTCGGTTTTAATATTATAAAAACAAAAATAAAACGCAATTGAGCAAAAGCCAATCTGATCATGCATGCATCCGTACTTAATTTTACCACGACCCATCCGGCCCGCGAAGCCTAAAAAAGATCTACCTCCCGGCCCTTGTCCAAAAAAGATTTGGAGATCCCTGATCTAGGCGAACATATAAGATAATATAAAAAGATAGGTGTAAAGATTTTGGTGTTGAGAAGATGGGTGAAAAACTGTTAAACTTCAAAAAGCATGAAAGAATTAATTGAAATTCCAAAGGTGAGCTTAGATCTAGTATAATACAAATGAAGTTGCAAATAAGTTCCTAATATTGAGAAGATGGGTGGTGGAATGTTTTTAATTAAGCTTCTAATATTGAGAAGATGGGTGGTGGCACTCACAAATATATATAACCAAGCTATACAACACCGAGAGTTTTTGAGATTCATCCCAGAGGAACTGTTGATAGTATCAGTCTAACCAGTTCATCACTAGATGACTCTTTCTTAAATTTTAGATGAAAACTGAACCGCTAAACACTTTAATTTTCTTGCAGGAAAAAAAAAAAAAACTCCGTGGGTAAGATTAATGTCTTTACTTACTTTCAGATAAAAATTTTGTACAAATTTTCTAGCCTATGGTGAAGTAAAACTTTTTACAGAAAAATATGAAAGAAATAACAGTTGCTAAAGTTTAGAGGAACACTTTCATTCGCCTATAGCAAAACTCCCAAAATGGAATTGTTTGTTTTGAATTTCGCGCAAAGCTACACGAGGGCTATCTGCACTAGCCATCCCTTATTTAGCAGTGTAAGACTTGAGAGAAGGCAGCTAGTCATCACCACCCACCGCCAACTATTGGGCTACTCTTTTACTAACGAATAGTGGGATTGACCGTCATATTATAACGCCCCCACGGCTGAAAGGGTGAGCATGTTTGGTGTGACTGGGATTCGAACCCGCGAACCTTAGATTGCGTGTCAAGCGCCCTAACCATCTGGCCATGCCGGGCCTAAAAATGGATTAATTTGTGTCTTGGCTAAACTTTAGGTGCAAACTACTGACCAATTTCATTCACCAATGGAAATACTCCCTAAATAAAATTAATATTTTCAGTATCACTTTTCCTGCGTAAAAGAAATTATGTGCAAATAAGAAAAAAGATTAAACTCCAATATTAATGCTCACCGGCGGTTCAGTATTAAGTTGTGAGGGCTTTTAAATCTAAAATTCAGGGTTCGATCCCTGAAGTTGGCATAAAATAAACAGACTATTGTAAAGATTTGTGCTTAACAGCAATAAAGCTTTATTAATTGTCTAAGTAAGAACGTATTTTACGATGATGACGTCTCAGTAATTCTGACGCATGAACAGTCCACTTCTCACTATATACGGCCCCTAGTGGCACAGCGGTATATCTGCGGACTTACAACGCTAGAAACCGGGTTTCGATACCCGTGATGGGCAGAGCACCGATAGCCTTTTATGTAGCCTTGTGCTTAACTTCAAAACAAACAAACTACACTATATATATATATATATTATATTGGATCCATGTTTCTTACATTTGTATTCTACGTTATAGGTTGCTGAAATATTTTATCTCAGCAAATGACTCTCCTTCATGAAGGTTTGCCCTCCAATTTGTGAGTCCATCACCCGTTTAGGACCATAAAATTGCAACTGTGGAAACGATAACCGTACTCTGCCCTAACCCTATTATTTTAATGGGAACATATCCAAACAAAGCTCACCCAAAACTAACAGGTCTGATATGATTCTCCCGATCACTCGTACATTTTAAGATCTCAAAACCACTTTTTAGAAGAATCGCACAAGCAAGAAACCTTGTTTAAAAATACCAATTTTCGCTTAGCCGCCGTGTAAGTTATATACCGTTATTGTTGCTCTTTTCTCTCTCAAATGTATGTTATTGTAGGCCTATATCGTATGCTTTCGAAAAAAACTCGTTTACAACGGTCGGCCACAAGTCCACCTGGTAGATTTTCCATTTCGAATGAGACAGAAAAAACGTTTCTTCGAAATTGTACAATTACATCTGCCGCCAAGTTGACCAAAGTTTTCTCCCGCTAATGGGAAATTGACTTGATTGTTCTTGAGAATTTAGCATATTCGTTTGGAATTGGAGTTAACACTTTGGATTGTTGTGCTTTTAAAAACCGATCGAAAAGCACATGACCCTACAAACTACTTACGAGGTCAAAGAAATAACAACGCCTTACAATGTTAAGTGCAAGAGACAGATGGAGCGTTAGAAGTTTGGAAACCATTTAAGGAAGATGTGCATGATCAGTTACAAAGAAATGCATCGCAAAAAAGAAAAACAGTTACTACTAATAATAATG